CGATTTTTGGAGGCGCCCGTTTCGGGATTCATCGCTGATGCCCTGCCACTTAGTGACGAGGACATGACTGATTCGGTCGACGGTGATAGCAACGCCTTCCGGACTGCCGACCATCATACTTCAGGTGCTATGTCCTCCGCTGCTGGAGGCCCTTTGGATCCTGGGAGTGATGAGGCACGTTGGGCTCGCCTTAGGAGGCTTGAGCAGGAGCGGCGGCCACTCCTTTTGTCACTGGACGATGTGGTTGCGGGCGGTGTTGCACCCGCTTCGGCCGGGCCTATGGATACCAGTGGCGCTTCGACTCCTGGGTCACCAGTGACTGCTGTTGCCCCTAGCCTTCCCGAACTTGCTCGCCGACTGGAGGTGGCGGTTGAGCGTCTGGATGGTCTTGAGGCTACAGTCGCTACTTTGACCCACAGACTGGATTCTGCTCTGGATCGCACTGGTTTCATCGAGGACCATTCTCTTGTCCAGCTGGAGAAAATTATCCGCGATCTTCGACTGCGACTCTCGGAGTGTGAAACCCGTGCGTTGACTGACATCAGGAGTCGCAATGAGCTTCGAGATGATCTCACTCGTCACATTCAGGCTTGCGGCACCCCTGAGGCTCATGCCGGACTTAGGCGTCAGCTGGCGCAGCTTTCTCAGGATGTGCAGTTCCTGATGGAGACACGCCCTGGGCCTCGCACTCCATGATGCCGTGACGGAAGCAGGGCTGTGATGACTCTGTGGGACGGCTGGTTTTGGATCTTTGGCATGTTGCAGCGCAGCCGGGGAAGCTCGCCGAGTCGTACTTCCTCAGCTGTCATTGCGGCGGCGCTTTTCGTCCTGCAAGCTCCTACCGTGAGTGCCTTCGGCTCTCCCGAATGAAAGGCCTTGTGCATTCGCAGCGTCTTGCATCAACTGCACAATCCTGTGAGTCATGTGTTGCTGTACCTTGTTGTTTGCTGCCTCAGTATGCATGTACTTGCTTGTGCCTTTACCGCTCGCCGGCTTAGAGTGCGGGCTGTGTTTACGGGACGGGTTTGGTGGTAAGCCACGCTGGCGCCGCCGCCTCAGTCGGAGCTGTCACGCCTGTGGTGCGTAGTGGCTCTCGACCTGGTTTCCCCCGCATCCAGCCTGCACTGTCCTGCTTTTCAGGTCGCGGTGACTTTGGCTCCTGCTGGCCAGCTCCTTGGTCTTGAGTCCCGGAGGCTTCCCCTGGGATCTCACGTGATACTCGTTCTCGCTGTCAGGTCGTGGTGAGGATCACTTTTGCTGGCCAGCTCCTCGTGTTGAGTCCCGGTGGCTTTCCCTGGGACCTCACGTCATGTTCATCAGGTCGTGGCTTTGACTGAAGAGTCTTGCCGCGCTCCTAGGTGGAAGCACTGGAGCCGTCCTTTCGGTTCCCGTTGTGCTTTCAGGTCTTTCCGACGGATCTGAGTGAGGGGGCTCGCCCCTCATCTTGAGTCCTTTGGCTTGCCCGGGGATTTCACGTGTCTCTTCAGGTCGGTGCTCGATTGCTGGGACCCAGCACAGTTCTCAGTTTTGAAGCACTGGAATCGTGGCATGCCCGGTTCCCGTTGTGTTTCTGGCGGCTCCAGGCCGCTCGGCGTTACTCGCCGCGAGGACCACTGGCTCTGACCTTGGCTGCGTATGGCAGAGTTTTTCTGCCTCAGCCGAACCACGGGGTTTCTTGAGTTATCTCGTGTGTCAGGTCTTGGCACTCCCGAGTTCACGCTGTACTGGGACTGCCCTTCTGCGTTAGGCCGTCGTGCTTTGCACTAGCACTGCCTTTTGCCCCCGTGTCCCCTTTACATTTCCCCTCCTCACGCTGTCAGGTCGGTTCTCTATGTCGCGGCGGAGCTCGTCACCCTTTTGCTTCAGGTTCAATCGGAGGCGCCCATACAGTGCTCTCGAGGATGATCCGATTGTTGATTCAAGCCCGCCGTCCTTGGGACATGCATTGGTCCGGCCGGCCTGCGCCACTGCCTCGGATCTTGCGGAACTCGCCCAGGATCTTCGGGTATGTCTGTCACAGGCTGCCAATCTCGAGGGCAGGCTTCTTAATGTGGAACATTTGGTGTGGCCTTCGAACGCTGACAGTTCTCTTGTGTCGGATGCTGCGGATCGGTTTCTGGCTATTGAACAGAGGGTGACTGCTCTCTCCGAGGGCTTGGATTCTGTGTCGCTTCATGTCAGCCAGACTGCTTTACAGACGGATGCATTGTCCTGGAGGTTGGATCGCTTGGAAACTCGTGTCAGGTTGCTCTGGGAAAATATTGATGATCTGCGGTCGGCTCTGGGCCTTTTGGTTCCAACGATTACTGGTGATCCCCAGGTGGCGGCTCAGGCACTTTCAGACGCGCTCCCCGCCAGGATGGCACGGGCTGAACAGGCCCTCCAGTCCTTGTCTCAGCAGGATACGGCATCAGGGTCCAATTCACTTCTTGACCGGGTGGCTCGCCTCGAGTCCTTGATGTCGCAGCTGCCGGCGATCTTGAGTTCCGATACCCATAGCCTTCGCTCTGACTGACAGGTTGTGTTTTGTTTGGGCATCAAGGCGATTTTGACACACGGCCTCGGGAAAATTCCGATTCACCGGTTCTCTTTGGACCGTTTGCCTTGGCTAGCTGTGTGTGCCTGCTGATCAGCCTGTCGCTCTGACCTGCCCGCTAGGCTCAGGTTTTGGGGGTGGGTTTCCTTGCTTAGGGTCTCTGTGCATGATCATGGCCAGTCGCTGGCTGCCGGATGGAACACCTCGCAAGCCGTCTTTTCCTGCACCAGTGCCGGCTCCGAGTCCGGCTCTGGCTCCATTGCTGCTACCTAGGTGCCACTGCGCGCCTTTGGCCTCGGGGCCCCCGGCTTCTGCACCGCCATTGGCGCCGAGGTTTCGTTCTCCGAGCTTTGTGGACTTGTCTGAGGTCTCTAAGGGTGGCTTTGCTCCGCTCCGCAGTGAAAGGGGGCTCCCAAAAGTGAAGGATTTTCCTCCTGCTCCGGCTCATCCTTACAAGCCGGCGGCACCGGGCACTATGTTGTCGGCCTGGCAGAATGCAAAAAACGAGCAGCTTAAGGTCTGGCTGGCCCTGGCAGCCACGGCTGCTGCGGCCTCTGAAATGGTGGCAGAGCTCTTGCAGAGTCCAAATTCTTCGATACTTTTGGTGCGCCTGGTTCAGGGGAACGCTCCTTCAACTCTTACCAACTACTTCGGACGTTGGAAACATTGGGTCGAGTTTTGCCAGGTCCAATCGGCAGATGAATGGGCACCCAAGGTAGCCTTCCTCTGCGATTTCTTGATCACGCACTGCAAAGGTCTTCTTGGGTCGGCCATCGCGTGGCTCAAGGCCTTCAGGTTCATCACTACACGGCTGGAGGTTCAGGCATTCAAGTTGGCGCTGCAGTCTGAGGCAGTGCGGGCTTTTGGGAAGTCCGTGAATGTGGTTCAGCGCAGGGAGACGGCACCTTTCCCGCTTTCCTTTGTCATTTGGTTGGAAAGGCAAGTGCTGGATGCGGCACAGTCTGCGGCACATCGCATTCGATGTGGCTTCATACTGGTTTGCGTGTTTGCCAGCCTTCGTTGGTCGGATGCTCAGTGGTCTCCGCCTTCCTTTCTTCACTTGGATCGGCAGGCGCTTCTTGGCTGTGCTACAAGGACGAAAACTACTTCTCGGTCCATGCCGTGGGGAGCCTGGGCTCCCGGGTTTCTCGCTAGGCCTCAAACGGTCCCCGGCTGGGGCCAGATCTGGCTGTGTCTGGTCCAGGAGGCGGTTACCCGTACTTCGGCCGCTCGTCCTGGGTTTCAGCCCGATTTTCTGGTTGCTGACTTGGGTCCGGATGCTCGCGCTCCGGTCTTCTTGGCTCCTTTGAGCCGTGCTGCGGGGGTGGTCCTGATCCGCAGACTTTTGGCGATGTGCTATGAGAGCTATCCGGCGGACCAACGGCCAGACTTGTCACTCATTGGCGTGCACAGTGCCAAAGTCACGTTCTTATCCTTGGCTAAGCAGCTCTTGTTGGACGAGGCCTTGCGGCGAGAGCAAGGTCACCGCCGCCCGCCGCCGGGGCACGCCATGACTCGGTTATACGGCAGAGATGATGTTTCCGGCCCCCTGGCACTCCAGTCTTCTATCGTCCAGGCGGTAGCAAATGGATTCCGACCGCTGAGGCCAGCCCTCCGAGGTGGCGCGCCGCCACTCCCTGACATCACAGTTGCTGTACCGGCTTTGGAGCCGTCCGCCTCGGACTCTCGAGCCCCTCCGGTGGTGCCCAGGCTCCACGACAGAGAGCCATTGGTTCTCGATCAAGATTCGAGCTCTGATTCCGAAGATGATGCTCCGGCGGCTCCTGAGGTCGAGTCCACATCAGCGGCCCCAGCTGCAGCTTGGGAACTGGTGTCGTCCGGTGACGTGGCGTCTTCACCGCAGGATCTTGGTGAGCCTGAAGAGTTCGAATTTTTGTTCAATCCAATGACGTCAATTGTGCATCTTGCTAAGCCTTGCCGGGCGGATCATCCCGCTTGTCAGTTCCGCCCAGCCCCGGATGCCGTTGGGGATGCTCCTCTTCGCCCAGGTTGCTCCATAAGAGGCAATCTGGCAATTGGAGCCTTAGTTCGGACATCTGAGATCCCGAAGGGTGCACGTTTGTGCTTGAAGCACGGGTGTGGGAAGGACCCCGCACTTGCATCCTTGCTGGACTCATAGGTCTCTTTTGGGGGTGGTTGCGGGGCCTCCTTGCATGCCTGGGGGTGCACGCTTGCACCACGGGCCTTGTGCACGGTCGGAGCCGCTCTTGCATCTGCCTCGCCGGACTCGCTTCCCGGCACCTTTTTGATCTGCCGATGTTAGTGCATTTGGTACTGCGCGGCTCTCTGCTTCGTGCTAGACGAGCTCGGCCAATCGGCCGTGGTCTTCTACGTAGCCTTAGGTTGCAAAAGCTGGGGCTGCCGCTTGGTGCTTGTTGTACTCCTGCACTTCTTGGCATTTCGCAATCGCTAGCTTTTGGCTGCTAGGAACTTAAGAAAAGCCATGGCAGGATCCGCCGTCATGCTTGATGATCCCGCCGCTTTCACGGGCCTTCTCACTAGATGGGCGGTCCCGGATGCAGTCAAGGACAAGCTTCGTGATGCAGGCTACAACACCATGGCTCTTCTGGCCCATGCAATTCCATCTGTGGACGACCTTGAGGCCTTTGTTGAGTCTTTGCTGGGCAGAGCAGTGGGGGCGGACCCGACGGTTCCCATTTTCTCTCCGGAGGCGGCTGCCCTTCGTCGTGTGCTTAAGGAGTGCATCAACATGGCAGGGCCGGCCGGTGCTTCGTCCCCGGCGGCACCGACCCCGGCCGCTGTGAGACCAAAACTGCAAGCTGCGGATGTCCAATCGCTTGTGGTGGAGTTCTCGCGCAAATATCCCTCGGAACTCCTTCGCCCAGAGGTCATGCCAAGTTTGCCTTTCCTGAATGCGGTCAAGGATGCGGTCGATTCTAAGCAGCTCTCCTGGATTTCATGGCGACTTCGAACGAGTGAGTCAGATGAACAGGCCCTCACCGAGCGACGCAAACCGCGCACGGACTCGCAGATGTTGCAGTCACTGCTCAGTCCGGTCTCGGATGAACTTGTGGTGGATGTCCCGCAGCACCTCCCCCTTGAGTCTGTGATTCGTCGCTACCTTGACCGCATGTCTTATGCCCTCGCGGTTCTGGATGCATGCCACTTACTAACTCTGAAGAAACTCTCGGAGAAATTTGTGACTCTGGCGACGGCGATCCCGATTGACCGCTCCCTGCGAGGACCCACGCTGGCGGAGGCTATGGATGCCGATCGTGTGCTTTGGAGTGCCATATGCTCCTTGCAGAAGGAATACGGCTGGTCTTTGCAGGATTGTGTCTCTGAAATGACACATGTACGATCGGACCTTCACAATGCTTTGGCTCCGCGGCCGAAGGTGCACCATGGTGGAGGTGAGCCTCGCGGCAAACGCCAGCGCACTGAGCCGCCGCCCGCTCCGCATCCCAATCCTCGTGCCAAGGCCAAGAGCAAGGCCAAGCCACGCAACAGTGGGGCTGCAGCTCCCTCCAAAGATCGTGTTTCCATCAGCAACTGGCCGAGCAATTGGGCTCGACAGATCGGTGGGGTCGGTGCGTGTATCCGCTATCACACGAATAAGTGCAGAAACAAATCTTGCCGTTTCAGTCACAAGTGCCCGATCCTGGGAGCTGATGGGAAGCCATGTGGGGCTGCTCACCCTGCATCCGCGCATAATGCTGCCCCCCATTGACGGGCAGCGGGGGAGGATGGTATGGACCTTGATCCCCCGCCTGATTTTGCCCCTGTGGTCTCTGAGACCTCTCAGTCTGAGGCTGAGTCCTTTGCAGATTCAATTTTGTCCGAATCAGTGGCCTTATCGTGTAAAAGCGTTGAGAGGCTCGCTGACCTTTTGCTGCGAGAGGCACCTGACCTTGACGATCGGTTCTCTGGTGGGGCTTCGGTCTCGGCTGGGCTTTACCATAGGATCAAGGTTGGCCTGCGCAAGGTATGCAGGTCACACCCTTCATCGGTGCGGGTTCTGAATTCGCTCATTTCTTTATTGTCACCTGGGTTTTTCCATTCCTCTTTTGTCTTGATCGACGGCATTGCTTCAGAGGCCCACTGTGATACTGCCAACTCGGATCTGCCTAATGTGGTCATTCCCATTTCGTGTTTTTCCGGTGGTGACTTGCGGGTTGCGCACCCCTCCGGGGCTGATGTGATGATGCATGATGGCGTCAAGCACCCGGCTGTCTCTCTACCAGTGTGTCGCGGCCCAGTGATCTTCACTGCGTCGTCTTGCCTTCATGAAGTCCTGCCCTTTGAAGGCCGCCGTCTGGTTCTAGTGGGTTATACACTTCGAGCTTGTGAGTCGCTGGCTGCCGCCACTTCCGCCCACCTTTCCTCCCTAGGGTTTAGGCCTCCTTCCCCTTCGGTTGTGTCTGAGGCTTTGCCCATTGCCCCTCGTGCTCTTGCACTCACCGATGAGCAGAGGGACTTGCTCCCACGGCCAAATTCTGTCAGTGCGGTCGGTTCTGGCCACCATCTCCGGACAGGGATTTCCCCTGACTTGCCCCAGTTGCCCGCCTCCGACTTTCTCTGCGACTGCAATTCGGGGCGTTTCTTTCTGGATATCTGTTCCGGGGCCGGGGCTCCTGTCAGTGCGGCCATGCAAGCCTTGGGCAAGGACTGTTTTCAACCAGTTGACATCATTCACTGCCAGGATTTCGACCTTCTGGAAGATGAATTTTTCGCTCAACTCCTGGCGCTCTGCTCCAGCGGTGTAGTGGGGGCGGCCATAGCGTCTCCGCCCTGTGGGGAATTCAGCCTTCTCAAACTGCGACCGGGCGGACCTCCCCCGTGCCGCACACCGGAGGAGCCGCTCGGTTGTATTTCCAACGATTGGCATCAATCTATGGTGGCTCAGAACAGTGCTCTACTTCATGATCGATGTCGGGAGCTTCTATCCAGTGTCGCGGCTCTGGGAGGTTGCATTGTTTTCGAACAGCCTCCATCCTCCATGACTTTTCTGACTGAGACAATGCAACAGTGGATTTCCAGCACACTTTCATTCGGTGCCCAAGTTGCAGCTTGTCATCACGGCATGGATGTGTCCAAGCGCTGGCTCTTCCTGTCCAACAGGCCAGACATACTTGAACTCGCGTCTGAGTGCCATCAAGCAAAGCGGGCGCACAAGCCTGTGTGGGGGATTCGTGCAGATGATGGGAGTTTCCTTAGCCGAATGACAGCTGCGTACCCGCAATCACTGGCGGTTGCTTTGGCTGCGCGTCTGGGAAGGTACACTTCGTCTCAGGGCCGGCTGCTTCCATGTGCAGAATGGCGATCTGTGCTACCCCTGGACCCAGTTTGGCCTGATCTGAGTCGCCGTATTGAGGATGGGGCAGGTGTGAACAGTACAGCATGCTGGATTACTCCACAAGCCGATGACCACCTTGCAGGTCTTCGCAAGAAGTGGACGCAGCGTTTGGTCGACAGTCGTCTCTGTCTCCGCGTCTGTTCCACTTTGCGAGCTGGTACCGACTGTCCACCCATCAGCGCGGAGGAGCTTCAGCCCTTTCTTGATGACCTGTGCGGCTTTTGCCAGGTCCCTGCAACAGAGGTCGAGAATTTTCTATCGATTCAACCGGGACAGCCTTTCCGCTTGAACGTCCTGGAGAAGCTGCTGGCGGTTACTAAAGACCCTGAAGCGGATCTATGCCAGCATCTTCGGAAAGGGGTGCGCATTGGTGTGGACCACGAACTGCAGCCCTCGCCTCATTGGCCCCTTCGCTCGGCTGATCCGATTGTGTCGGACCTCGTGATTTGCGAAGGTTCTTGGAAAAGTGCCTCCGATCACCCGGATCAGGTCCGGGAGCTCCTGGCCCAGGAAATCGCTGAAGGCTGGATCGTGGAGAGACCTTCGGTTCAATATCTGCATGATCACTTCCCGGCGGTGGCTATAGGCAAACTTGGACTGGTTCTGGCTGAAGGCAGGTCACCTCGACTCACGGTCGACAGCTCGATTAGTGGAGTCACGGCCGCTTGTCAGATCCCAAATCACATGCTGCTGCCACGCATATCCGACGTTGAGGATTGTGCTCCCTCCTGCCTAGGCCGCCAACCTTGGATCACGGTTTCTTTGGACGTGCGCAAGGCTCACCGCATGGTCATGGTAGAACACTGTGACCAGGCTTTGCTGGCCTTCACCTTCGAGGGACGCGTCTTTACGTCCAGCACCCTTAATTTCGGGGCCAGAGCATCCGCTTTTTGGTGGGCCAGAGTTGGTGGAGCCCTGCTTCGTTTGTCGCACGCAGCGATCTGGCTTTCACATCTGCTTTGGGGCTACGTGGACGATTTTTTGGGAGGTTTTCGCGGCGATGTGGCTCCGATCTCTGCCTCCATTTGGATCCTCTTGCTCTTGGCTCTGGGAGTACCACTTTCTTGGCCAAAGTGTGTCTGGTCGTCGGAGTGTATTTGGATTGGATGGTCCATCAATCTCGAAAGCTGGGTTTGCGAGCTCCCGTCTGATAAAATTTCCAAAATTCTCGATCAAATCGCTGAGCTACTTTCTGCGGGGGACAAGGTCAAGTTCAAGACTTTGGAATCACTCATTGGACGCCTCTTGTGGGTTACAGGCTTGTGGACGGTGCTTCGGCCTCTGCTGTCCCCACTGTATGCTGCTCTGCAGCGCTCACCAGCTTCCTCGGTTGGTGTCAGCCCTGAATTGTGGGCTGCGATCAAGCGCAACATTGCTGAGGATTGTGTGCTGACCCGCTCGGTTGGGCATCCATCTTTCCATAAAGGTGCTTGCATCACTCGTGCGGCCAATACTTTTGTGTCTTCCAAGCAGGATCTTGATCAGGTGCCATTCAGGAAGCGCCGATTGTGGGTCGAGGTTAAGGATCCTGGGCATCCGCTGCGAGTCCTCGGGGATGTCGGCAGGTCAAGCTTAATTGCTTGGCGTGCCATCTTCCAGGGAACCCCGTTCTTGAAGGCGCTTCGCAGCCCGCTCCCGCTGAAGGTCATTGCGGAGGCGGATGCCTTTGCCGATGCGGAGGTTTCTGGGCTAGGAGGCTACGCCATGTGGCCCAGTGGTCGCACTGTCTGGTTTTCCATTAGAAAAGACAGTCAGGAGTGGGCTGCTCTCACTTCGTGGTTCCCTCCGCCCCTCCAGGCGCATATTTCGGCGTTTGAACTCCTGGCTCAATTACTGCTGCTTTGGTGTGTCTTCGCCACTCTGCCCTCCAATCGTGGACTATGTCGGGCTTGCCTTCGTTCGGACAACTCCGGTGCAGAGGCCTGTGCCTCCAAGGGCCTTTCCTCGGTATTGTCCATGAGCGAGATTGTCAAGAAGTTCCTTGCTTTTCAGGCGTGGTCTGGTGTACAAGCTGAGGTCGAGCATGTACCTGGGTATCGCAATGAACTTGCAGATGCGCTCAGCAGGCTTATGCCGAATGACATTGCCCCGTTGCCCTTGGGAGACCGGGTGCATCCGCCTTTGCAATGGCTTCTTGAGCAGCGGCTCGTTCTTGAACCCGCTTCGGCCTCGTGGCCGCCTCCTTTCAAGACTTGGATGAGTAGCCCCTGAGTGCGATGTTTTTATTACTTCCACTTGTTTTGCAGGCATGTTCGCCAGCGGCGAAAACACATCGCGGTACGTTTCTCTGTGCGTCTGGAGCCTTGTTGCAGAAAGTTGCTCTTTTGCCATGCCGTGCACGTGTGGGAGATGTGCGACCGGATGATCTTCAGCACGCTTGCTGACGTCGATCATGCGTGCCGCCCCGGCCGTGTTGCTTCTTGCCGGCTCCTTCTTGCACTCTGATGAGGACTTCGAGCTTCGGCTTGACGGGTTTCGTCCTTTAATCTGTAATGTATGACTGCTGCCGGCCTCGCTTGCCTTTCGCAGTCTTTTGCTTACAGTTTCAGGGGTCTTCTTGCTTTGCAACAACATGTCGGGCCACTCGGAGGAATCTTCTTCCCGTCTATCCGGCGCTGCTCCAGAGTCGTCTCCGTTTTCGGGGCCGGTTCTACGGGAGGCTGATCTTGGAGCGTTGGGGGACTGTCCTCCGCCGTGTCTCCAGTGTGATCTTCTTCGTGCGGAGGTGCTGATGCTACGTGCTGAAGTTGCGAGCCTGCGCAACTCCAGCTTGGCTGCACTCTGGGATGCGATCTATGCCTTGCAGGGCCAGCTCAACGAGGTTCGCCCACGTGGCGAGGATGCCCACTTTTCATTCGTGTTTACGGCGGTCGAGGAGAACACTGCAGCTCGCCTGCTGCGCTCGCCTTTGGCGACTGTTCGCTGCCTTCGCTATCATGAACAACGTCTGGACGCTCTTGTCAATCTCAATGCCGACCTCGAAAGGCGACTTCGATCGCTGGACTTGGCATTGTCTCGAGCCTCAGGTTAGCTCTGACTGCAGGTTTTGCATCCGAGTGAAAACCAGTGAATGTGTCCTGCACCTCATGACATGTTTCTCGATTTCTTTCGGGTCTTTTCCCCTGTCCGGGTCGCGAAACGATCTTTACTTGGCTTTCGACCCTTTTATACCCTTCCCCCTGACCAGTGCTTTTCCCCTTTCCCTTTGGAGCTTGCTCTCCACGGTGGGACGGGGTTTTGAACGTTTGCTGCATTGGCTGGGGGTCTCGTCGGGTTGGTCGATCGTTGACTCGGCATTTCCTTTCGAGAAAACATGTCGTTTGAGTGCGTGCACATTTCTCTATCTTTCGGAATGGAATTATATTTCGATTCCGTCCGCTCTCATTTTGGAATATCTATTGGATGGATATTTCATATTATATTTCTTGACTGGGAACTTGAACGTATACGGACTAAGAGGGCTTCAAACGATTTTCGTTTTTGAAACGATTTGGTTTGCTAGCCCTCAAAGCCCGGAAGGCAAGTTTTTGATTTTCAACACATGCCTTTTTCCTTTGCGCATGCTTGGACGTGGCTGTGTTGAAGTTCGCTTTCGGTTGCCTTTTTGGTTCAAGTTCCTTTTCTGGTCAAATTTTTTTCACCCACCACCATCCCCTTGCACCCGCCTTGGGGGGGGTAGTTGACGTACGGCTTTCGACCCTTTTATACCCTTCCCCCTGACCAGTGCTTTTCCCCTTTCCCTTTGGAGCTTGCTCTCCACGGTGGGACGGGGTTTTGAACGTTTGCTGCATTGGCTGGGGGTCTCGTCGGGTTGGTCGATCGTTGACTCGGCATTTCCTTTCGAGAAAACATGTCGTTTGAGTGCGTGCACATTTCTCTATCTTTCGGAATGGAATTATATTTCGATTCCGTCCGCTCTCATTTTGGAATATCTATTGGATGGATATTTCATATTATATTTCTTGACTGGGAACTTGAACGTATACGGACTAAGAGGGCTTCAAACGGTTGCTGTTTGGTGTTGGGGGTGGCTGCGCGTGCCGCTGGTGGTGGTGTTGGTGGTGGTGGTGTGGTGCTGTGGTGCTGTGGTGCTGTGGTACTGTGGTGCTGTGGTGCTGTGGTGCTGTGGTGCTGTGGTGCTGTGGTGCTGTGGTGCTGTGGTGCTGTGGTGCTGTGGTGCTGTGGTGCTGTGGTGCTGTGGTGCTGTGGTGCTGTGGTGCTGTGGTGCTGTGGTGCTGTGGTGCTGTGGTGCTGTGGTGCTGTGGTGCTGTGGTGCTGTGGTGCTGTGGTGCTGTGGTGCTGTGGTGCTGTGGTGCTGTGGTGCTGTGGTGCTGTGGTGCTGTGGTGCCGTGGTGCCGTGGTGCCGTGGTGCCGTGGTGCCGTGGTGCTGTGGTGCTGTGGTGCTGTGGTGCTGTGGTGCTGTGGTGCTGTGGTGCTGTGGTGCTGTGGTGCTGTGGTGCGGTGGTGCTGCGGTGCTGCGGTGCGGTGGTGCTGTGGTGCTTTGGTGCTGTGGTGCTCTGGTGCTTGGCCTAGCCGGGCTTGCCCGGCGGCACTGTTTAGAGTAAACGTTTTGGGTGGGCGGGGCGGGGTGTCTCTGTGGGTAGGAGGAGTTCCCTTGATTAGACCATCTCGAAGATCTCCGCAGTTTCGAAGAGAAAAGTTTTACTTAGCAGTTTTGAGTTTCGATTTTATTTTACGTATCGTGCACTTTTCAGAATTCAGCCAGAAGCTGAGTGCGCGCACAATCTCGATGTTTATCATGGACGCAGAGCTCAGGCTCAGGAGCAGAGAAAATTTTGATTATATAGGGACTAGATCTCACAAGCATCGTTGTGACGCATGACTGGACAGTGGACATGCTTAGCAGCTCCATACTTCAGGTCTTAGATCGCGGTAACAGGGCAGCCTTGCGGCCCGGGGACGGCCATGAGTGGTGCAGGTCTCAGCTGGCCCGCACTCGTGCAGCCTTACCGCGGTCGGCTCGAGGAGTGGTTTGGCACGCCAGAGAAGCTGCATGCATCCTTTGACACTAGAGAAGAGCTCGTGGAGTTGCTTAGGAATTGTGACAAAGTTTTGTCGGAAAGCAGTGTTGCCTTGATCGCAGATGCTCTTCTTGAATGGCATACTGATGTTTCCCGATTGGTAGCCAGTGGGCGCAGGGAAGCAAGGAGGCGCTTGACAGAGTGCTTGCCCGGTGTCCCGGGAACTGGCCTTAGCCTGCATGAGCATTACAATCAGATCGCACTTCAGAGTCCACTTGCGTTGCTTCCGGTTCTTCGCAAGCGAAAGTTAGCTACTGATAGGGTCGTAGATCGCGGGGCCAGGGCCACTGAAGAGATACGACTTCGGCAGGAGTATGCATTGCGTCTTGCAGCCATCATGCAAGAGGCGCAACTGCCGGTGCGCAAGGTGCTTGCAGGGGTCAGCAATGCCGAGGAAGCCTGGCCACGGTTGTTCGGGACCCGTCGCTCCAAGACATTGAGGAATCGCTTCAGGGCTTGGGATAAGTTTCGGGAATGGTTGCTTTATAGCCGTGGCAGAAGCTATCCGGAAGGGGTAGCTGATGTGCTAGACTATGCCAATGAACGATTCCAGGAAGGATGTGGAAAGACAGTTCTCGAAAGCCTGCAAGCATCTCTCAGTGTACTTGAAGGTGTAGGGCGCGTGCCGTCTACGCAGCAGATATCTCAGGATCCCACATGGCAGGCGCAGCTCAAAAGTTACACAGCTGATTTGATTTCGGCGGCACCGCCGGAGCAGCCAGCCAGCATGCTCACCGTTGCTATCGTTCTCGCATGCGAGATCTTCGTCTGCACGCCTGGGGAGCCGAGTTACTTGAGGGCATTGGGCTTTGTATGCTTATTGATGGTTTGGGGCTCACTTCGGGCCGATGATGTTCAGGGGCTCCTGCCGCAGACCATGCTTCTGGACGAGCGAGGGCTTAGCATTGATCTCGCGCGGTCCAAGACTACAGGGCCCGACAAAAGGACCCACACCGTCAAGGTCTTCGTGGAACGGAGTATCTCTCTGACAGGGCATGATTGGCTGAAGGCCGGATATGCACTTTGGAAGGATTTCGATTTTGAAAGGGATTATTTGGTTTTGAAGGCCAATGAAGGTTTCACGGAACCCCTTGAGAAGCCGGTGGCTTCCTCCACGGTGGCCCTTTACTTCCGCAAAGTCCTCAGTGAATTGAAGACGCCCAAGCGTGAGGGGCGCACCTGGAAGGCCAATGATCAGCGTCCGCTGCTCCCAGGATACACTTCCAGTCATTTCACAGGCCACTCTGCGAGGAACTTCCTTAGCTCGGTCGGAGCGGCCATCGATGTCGACCCCAGGGAGCTTGATTATCTGGGTCGCTGGAAGGTAGGTGGCGAAGGTTCTGCAACATACATTCGCACTTCTAGGCAGGTTGTGCATCGTCTCCAGAGCCACATTGCATGTTCTCTTGTCACCGGGCAGCCTAAGCACTACATCGAGGTGGGTTCTATCAAGGCTTTGACGGACTATGCGGCTAAGGCTGGGGAGAGCGAATCTCAGGTTCGTCGCCGTCACACCCTCCTCGAGGGATCCAAAGGCTTGGGCGGATCGTGGCCAACCCTGGCATTGGAAGTGGCTGTTGCGGCACCACCTTCACCAGTCGAGCAGGTCTCGATGCCAGGCAGCCGGGGGGATTACTTCATCGTTACCTCTCGCACCACAGGCCTGAGGCGTTTGCACATGTTGGGTTGCTATGTCAAGCCTGAGAATTGTTACGATGTAAAATTTGTCAATCATGTCGGCGCGGAGGACGTCGATAACATTTGCAAAGATTGCAAAGCAAGAATGAAGGCTCAGGCCGGAGAGGAGGAATCAGACCCCTCCAGCAGTGACAGTGGGAGCGAGTCGATGTGAAGGCAAAAGATGTTTCCGACTGCTGTGTATAGGCTGTGCCCTGCAAGTCCTAGCCAGAAGTTGGCATGAGTTGCGTATGCAAGGGCGCCTTGAAGTAGATCCACGATAACAGTCCATGCTGACATTTCGCAGGGCGCCTTGAAGTTGTTCCGCGATAACAGTTCATGCTGATTAAGTGCACGTGCTGGCGCTGTTCAAGCAGGAGGAAGTCTCACTCGGCGCAGGCCGTGAGGTGCCGACGGATTCCGCATCCTGTCACAGGCCTCAGGGCGACGGGTGGACACATCGCAGTGCAGCTAAAGGCCTCAGGGCGGCTAGCAAACAAAGTCCTACAGGGCCACAGGCGGGAGCACGGCATTCGCATCAGGAGTAGCTGGAGTTAGTTACTGTTGTCGCAATGGCCGCCACAGATGCCGAGAAGCGCGAGCTCATAACCAAAGCAGATAGCGACTTGCAGTTTGTGCTCGGAGAAGCTGGCTTGTCTCTGGATGCCCAGTATCGCATTGTGCAACGACATACAACACTTAGGCGATTCCAGGCAATCGCCGATTCCCGGCCGGAAGCTCGGGCTGCTGGGAAGGCGGGCTTCGGATTGGATGATGGGGCTGCAGAAGGGCGACAACAAATCGCGGGGGTCGTCGCTGCATGGGAACTCGCGCGAGACGTAATCAGCAAAGAGACGGAAACGCGAGCAGAGGCAAAAGTGTTAGGCCAGCCGCGAATCTTGCAAGTCACAGAAAGGCAGGCAATGCTCAAGGCGGTAGCTGCCGTTCACGGGCAGCTGGGAGAGTCAGAGACTCCATCGTCTGAGTACCTCGCTCTCAAGTGCGAGGAGTGCGAAGCCAATGAGCCTCAGGCTTCAACCTTGGATGCCATAACTTCTAAGAAGAACACGCTTACCACGAGCATCCAGTCCAGCCTTGACGCTTCGGGGCGGATTCATATTACTCAGCACAAATCCAAGAGTGAGCTTCCGACTACTACTGAAGCTTATCGCAAGGTCCTTCGCGTGGAAGCTTTCACATGGCTATGCATGGCATCCCGCTTCAAATCCAAGCAGTGGCTTCAGGATCTCAAGCTGTCCGACTTCGACCACTTCGTGAACTACATCCTTGGCGAAAAGGTCGCCCAGCTCTCAGTGCCTACTTCTCATCAACCAGCCGATGTGCCTTCCCTTTCGCCCCCTTGGGAAGTAGTCTTGGCCTATGAGCACCGGTTGCGCAAGGAGGCTTTCCGTCTGGTCAATGATCAGGGTTATACTCTGGCAGGCGCTCTGGCTTCAGTCATTTCTTCAGCGGAGCTTAAGGAGACCTACTTCACGACTCCGCTCGCATTGTCCATCATTGAGCGGCCACGCAAGTGGCACAAAGGCAAGGGCAAGAGCACGGACGGCAAGGACGGAGGCAAGACGGGAAAGGGAGGCAAGGGCAAAGACTCCAAGGGGGGCAAGAACGGCAAAAGCGCCTCGGACCCGGCACTCAAGGGCCTTCAGTTGGTTTGGCGCACGCCGGAGGGACGCGACATTTGCTTTGCCTTTAACTCCCAGGGTTGCACCAATCCATCATGCGAGCGTTTGCACGTATGCAGAGTCAAGGGCTGTTATCAGCCCCACGCAGCGACCGAGCACAAGCTTAAGACCGGCAAGCCCAAGGAGTGACTATCGCATGATTCGGTTTCTACCATTGAGACATCAGATCACATCGCCTATCAGCCTCAGCTGTACAGTCCGAGCGGACTTCGTGTGCTCTACATTTTCGCGGGGCCCCATCGCAAAGGTGATGTGGGCTCTTACCTTCAGTCTTTGGGCAATGTCACTGACCTTCTTCAGTTCGATCTTCAGCGCTCCACAGAGCATGACTTGACTAAGGAAGGATTGTGGCAGCACATCTTTCAGTTGCTTGGCGAAGGGGATTGGATCCTCATTGCCTCTCCTCCTTGTGAGACATTTTCCAGAGTCCGGCATCGCCACCCCGGGCCAAAGCCACTACGTTCAGCATTTTATCCTAGAGGTTTTCCATGGTTAAGCAATTTGCACGCACAGCAGGTAGAGCAGGCTAATTATTTTCTTGATCAGACCGTGACGGCATGTCAACTTGCATGGCAGTATGTCCTGGAGCACCCGGAGGATCTCGGTGCGACTCCAGATCACGAGTTACCGGCTTCCATTTGGCAACTACCAGCTCTGCGTGAGCTCCAGGTTTCCACTCAGGCCATCACTTTTGCATTCTTTCAGTGTAGCTTTGAGGCTCCAACTTCTAAACCTACCCGCCTTCTCACTAATCTCACGGCCTTTGTCGAGCAGCCTCCGCCTTTTGCTTCATGGCCACGCTTCGACTCCAGCGATCGCTACGTGGGGCCGTTGCCGCCACGTTGCCCGCACGGCAAACACGACAAGGTACTTGCAGGCCGAGAAGGCACCCGCTGGGCGACCGAGTCATCGGCAGCCTATCCTCCTCTGTTGTGTGAGTGGCTTGCGCATGCTGTGCTTGCTTCCGCTGCGCATGGGGGACTTGGGTCAGCGTCGCACAGCTTCGTTCCAGGTGAGGCAGATCCAATGCAGGAGGAGTCTTGTGAGGCACCTCAGGTTTGGCCACAGGAGGTGCAGCAGGAATCCCACGAGGAGACGCAGGAGGTGCATCAGGATTTATGTGAAGTGCCGCAGGGTCTGCATCAGGTGGTTTCTGATAGGGTAGAGGCGGTTACAGATAGGGTAGAGGCGGTTGGCTTGATCGAGTCGGAAGCACCTCCTTCCACTTTGTTGCCGTCGCCAGACTCTTCGGGGCAACCGCAGCCGAAGGCAGCACCTAGGGGGGTTAAGAAACATGTTGAAGCCGAGGAGTTTGCACGCATCATTTCTTCATCGAGGGCCCCGACTCGGGCCGAGGTTCATGCTCTCTTCAAACTGCTGCCGCATGAGACTCCGCCTAGGTCGGCGGTGTCCTCCAATTGGGTTCCTAGCAGCGTTTCGACAGGTTTGTACCGGAAGGGTGGAGGCCTGATCGGGCTCAGGTCCGCGTGCAAAGGCTTCCCGGCTTCCACTGAAGCATTGGCATCATTCGTGCGTAGCAACATGCCCGGGCACCCCTTTACCACGATTAGCCTTTACCTTAACACTGGCACCAAGCCCCACAAAGACTCCAGGAACGCACCTTTGCCCAATGGGATAATAGGGGTTACTGACTTCGTAGGAGGAGAGATCTGGGTCGAGGCCCAGGGTGGGGAATCTGTTCAGATAGTTGACGGTAAGCGCTTAAGCGGTCACCTCCTTCCGATCAGTGAGACACCCACTTACATACATGCTTACCGCGATCTTCACCTCACAATGCCCTGGAAAGGTAAGAGATTAGTCATCATAGCTTTCAGTGTGTCGGAGCATACTCAGGCATGCGACGAGGATCTCGCGCTTCTTCGCGGGCATGGTTTCGTCCTTCCGGGCGAAGAGCACAGTGTTGATCTTGAGGCGGTCCAGTCGGATGATTCGGAGGTGCTGGAGGGGGGCGAAGTCGAAAGACCGGAGCCCTTCAAGCATCAGGAGTGCCACAACATCGGACTGCCTTTGAACCTCGAGTGGGACGGCAAAACTCAGCCGATCACGGATGGCTTTGGGCTCTGCTCACCCACTAGATGGCCTCCGGAAGCCAGGGGGGGCCTGCTGCCCAAGCAGGCTTTGGAGTTCGCCACTGCCATGCATCAAGTGCTTCGAGACTTTGTAGCGGACGTTGTGCCTGATGTCAGGCGCACGGCGATGGAGCTTGCGCTAGGCCGCCTTAAGGAATCACCTTTTCACTCCAGAGATGTTAGGGATCCTTAGGAAAGAGTGGTTTAGTTGCATAGAGGCTGCTTCGGGAGGCAAGTGCACGGATCTTGATGTGGTGCCGAGTGGCCAGCCATTCTTCTTGCATGCTGTGTCTGCGACAGCGCGGCTGTTGCAGGACCCAGATTGGAAAGCCGTTTCTTGCCAGGAGGACTCCTATGTCAGCGGGGTCGCGATCGGTTATGACTGCCCCGCGCCTCACTTGCCACAGGTGTACGAGTACAAATACAAGTCCCGCAAGCTCGATGAATCGGATGCCGAGTGGCATCGCGAGAATTATTCGTCGGCAAACGAAACATCGGATCAGCTTGAGAAGAAGTTTGCAGAGGAAGAGGTTCTTGGGCGCATGGCGCCTTCCACTTTGCCGGTTCTTGAGCAAAAGTACGGGCGGGATAGGGTTAGGATAGCTTCTTTAGGTTCCTTGATTAAACCAGACGGCTCCGCGCGGCCGTTACACGATGGCACCCACGGTGTGCACGTCAACAATGGTATTAGGCTACTTAATCAGCAATCTAATCCCGGACCCCAGGAAGTAGTTCACCTTGTGCGTAGCGCGAAGCAGAGTCAGGAGGCCACCTTTTGCCTCACCGGCGATGTGACGGCGGCTCACAGGTTGTTCCTTGTCAGAGAGGCCGACTGGCCTTTGTTGTGCTGTAAGGTGCGCAACGACACGCCGGTCGTTTGGTACAACAAAGTAGGAACATTCGGTATATCATCATCCGCCTTCCTTTGGTCTAGATTGTTCGGAATCATCGGCCGCTGCACCGCACGCTTTCTTTTGACCTTGTGGTTCTATCACCTCGTCTTTGTAGATGATGTTCACGCCAACTTCGCAGGAAGGGAGAAATTTCATCATTTGCTCATGTGGCTAGCATGCTTCGAGATGTTTGGCACACCTTTCGCGTACAAGAAGTTCCGCGGTGGGCTCACTTCGGCTTTTGTGGGTTACGAACTTTCTTATCCAGACCAGAGGGTTGGAATTTCGGAATCGCGGGGCCAGTGGCTCTTGAAATGGATCGCCGAGGCCCGGTCCTCGAAGTTTGTTGTGTCGGTTCGCAAGTTTGCTGAGTTCTTAGGGAGACTGGGCTTCGTTGCTCGGCTTTTGGTTTGGCTTAAGGCACACCTTGCACCGCTTTACAGCTGGAGGGCAGCGGTGAACGACAGTTCAGTCGCTCGGATGCCCGATACCGTCATCCTTACTCTTGAATATCTTGACCTCACGTTCAGGGACATGACATTCAAGGTCGCCGCAGCAAGATCGGTCAAGAGGGCAGGCGTGGCCTTCCGCACTGATGCAAAGTGTGCGGACGGATACGTGGTCCTTGGGGGTTGGGATTGCGCAGGCACAACTCAGGAGTCCAAGTGGTTCTCACTTCGACTTACACCTTCAGAGGCCCCTTACCTCTTTGACTCAGAAGGTCACAGTCAGTGGGCTTCGGCATCGGCTGAACTGCTGGCCACGCTGGCCGCGTTGCACATCTTCGGTCACCTTGAAGCCGGGCCAACTAGGCGTTCGATGAAGGTTGAGGTTTTAGCTCAGACGGATAATAAGTCTAACGAGGGCTTGACTCGCAAGGGTTCTACAACGCGCTGGCCCTTGCTCATGGTGAACATGCAGCTCACCCATGTTCTCATGAAGGCCGGCTTGCGGTTGAACTTGGGATGGCGTCCCCGGGACGAAAATCAGGAGGCCGATGATTTAACCAACGAAATCTTCGACCGTTTCTCTGAGGAGTTGCGGGTCCCAGTGCAGTACTCCGAATTGCCGCTTTCCTTTCTTCACACTCTTTACGAAGCCAGGCGTGCACAGCTGAGCACCCGTGAAGTGGATTCCATCCGCGACACGGTCGGTGGCAGGCCACGCTTCAGAGGCAAGAGAAAGAGAGAGAAGTCTCCCTGGTGACGTGCCGGCCTGCGGAAGGGGGGCACAGGCACACAGGTGCGCCTTCCGACACGTCAAAGACCTGTTCAAGAATTAGATGCCTGCGTGAGCCTGCCGCCATCCGTTTGAAAACATCCGGCGTGCTCCTTTCGGCAGTTGCTATCTCTTTAGATATTTGTCATTAAGTGGCGAGGATACATTTGATTGGAGTCACAAGAGGCGAAAGCAAGATATGAGAATTTATACCCCATATATTCTTTGGGGATACGGTCGGTGCATTTATACCTTCGCCGATATTTCCGTTTGCCCAATATATCTTCTGGGCAATAAAATTTCTGATGAGGGAACTGAGTTTTGTAAACTTCGCTCACAGCGCCCTTCCTAAACACAACGGTTACGGAGAACAGGGTGCTTTGGTGCTCTGGTGCTCTGGTGCTCTGGTGCTGTGGTGCTGTGGTGCTCTGGTGCTGTGGTGCTGTGGTGTTGTGGTGCTGTGGTGCTGTGGTGCTGTGGTGCGGTGGTGCTGCGGTGCTGTGGTGCGGTGGTGCTGTGGTGCTTTGGTGCTGTGGTGCTCTGGTGCTGTGGTGCTGTGGTGCTGTGGGGCTGGGGGCTGTTGGGGCTTTGGGGGCTTTGGGGCTGGGGGGGCTGGGGCCTGTGGGGGCTTTGGGGGTGTGGTTGGGGTGCGGTTGGGGTGTGGCGGCGTTGCGGTGTTGTGGTGTTGTGGTGTTGTGGTGTGTGTGTGTGTGCTTTGGTTTGGGGGTGTGGGGTGTGGGGGCGTGGTGGGGTTGTGTTCGGTGGTGTGGTGGTGTCGTGGTGTGGTGGTGGTGGTGCGGTTTTTTGGCTGTGGTTGTGGTTGTGGTGGTGGTGCTGGTGGTGGTGCTGCTGCTGCTGCTGCCGCTGTTGTCTGTGTTGCTGCCGCTGCTGTTTTTTCTATTTTTTTCTTTTTGTGTGTTTCTGTCTTTGCTGTTCCTGCTGCCGTGGCTTCCTCCTTTTGTCTTGGTGTTGGGTTTGGTTCACTTTGTCTTTATTCGCAGTCCTTTGACTTCAAGGTGCGTAGCTGGCCTCACCATGGCATCGTGCTTGGAGACGAGCCTCTCTGATTTCTGGGATGCAAGCAAGCGACATGTAGCACACAATGGCATCGGTGGCCTCCCTGACGCGGTCCTCGCGGTGCAAAGACTTGCATGGCAAAAGCTCATACAAGTAGGCTCTCAATGTCTACAGGCTCTCCTGAGCCGTCGATCTTGCACTCTGCAATGGTATCCTTCACTTGTACCAGGACTACAGGAAGGTATGGGACTCGCGCGCTGGGCACTTTCACTGTTGCCACCACGGGGTGCAAGCAGGTCTGTATCGTCGTTGCCTCTTAAGTTAGGTCTTGCGAATCCAGGGGTTGCAGGTTGCAGGGATTTTAAAGGTGAACACCACAACTGGCTGCCTCTCATAGATGAGCAGCGTGGAATCTCTCAGGCCATGAGAAAGCTGGGCTTGGACGCAGTCGGGTTGACTGCACCACGCTTGTCCCCAGACACTCGGCCACCACATAAGCTTGTCGGTAAGCTTGATTGCCGAGGTGGGCCAAGCTATGCTAGCACAGCTGTTCTCAGATCGCTTGCACTGGCGCAAACATCTGCCGTTAGACAGGATGTGGGTGGTGATCGCAGGTTGTGGGTTGATGTTCTGTTGGAAAATGGTGATCCTCTTCATTGGGTCACTCTGGTCTTACCGCCAGAAGGACGAGCACATGACGATGAATGGGTTCAGGAGCTAGAAGGCCTCAAAAGCGACATACAGCATCTGAAGACGACATCGCAGTCTCAAGAGCCGCTTTTCTTTGCATGGGTGATCTCAACATGCAACCTGATGATTTAGGCTCCCGCCCGGAGATCTCTAGGATCCGTCAGAGAGCCTGGGTTGATTTTTTTGTCTCTTCTGGGTTTTGTGTTTTCAACTCGTTTTCTCCCGATGCTCAACCTGAAGAGGTACAACTTCCTTTCCGTAAGAAGGTAATCACAGTTTGGCCACACGCCACCAGGCATGGCACTCGCGGTTGTGGAAGAGCCATTGACTTGGTTTTTGGAAGCTCACATCTTGCAGTGAATCTTTTCATTCGCAATAGTCTGTCCTGTGGAGGTGAAGATACCTGCCCGGTAGCTTGCTGCCAGGAAGTAGGTTGCGGGGATCATTTCCTGATTCATGTGGAGGTAGCACTTGCACCAGGTGAGTCTGCAGATAGTGCTGCGCCTCACTTTCCCGGTAAGTGGCACAGTGAAGCCCGTTGGAGCACAGCACTCAGACAGGCCCAGGTCTCCCTTCAGGCCCTGCTTGCCGTAGCCTTACAAGGACATGATGAACATCACAAGGACCCCTCTCTGTCCATCTTGGGTTTGGAGGCTTGCTCGTTTCTTCTTAATTGCATTGGTGGCATTCTCCGTGATTTTTGGTTGGGAGGTCGTCGCAACAAACAGGACGGAGTCCGTCCAGTTCTCAGCCAACTTCCAAAGCTGTTGGCGTCAGACTGTCCGGAAGATCTAGTTTTGTTGGAACAACAGCTTCGCCTCATCAGCAACAACACTGCCCTGCTTCACAAAACCTACAGGCTCCTTAGGCCCTTCTGCCCCAAGCCGGTCAGCTGTATGATGCAAGAGGCTCGTCTCCTGACGGAGGAAGAGACAAACGTAGCTTGGCACAGGGCTCTGACCACACAGAGTGGACACCAAGGCAATGTGGACCATGGCTTCCAGATTCTGGTTCGTAACAGACTGCGGGTCTTGCTGGACACAGCGCGTGCCCATCAAAACTGCAGTACCCAGGACTTGCCTGTGCTGCAGCGTGAAGTTGTGGATGTTGTATCTGATTGGACAGTTTCCCACGCCATGCCCCCCGACCTCCTCCCTAGAGCACTCTTCTCCTGCAATAATGAAAGCTGGGATGATGCAGTTTGGGCCCTTCAAAAGTGGGCGGGCCCCTCGGCAGCTGCCTACAGACCGCTTCTTTGGAGACAGGCGTCGTTGTGCCCTTTACACAAGAAGGGCAATGCAGCTCAGGTAGAAAACTTCCGGTTACTGTTTGTGAAAGCTCAGATGGGTCTCATGCAGGAGGCACTGCTGACGCAAAGATGGCTCACCAAGGTTCGAAACTATGTGCTCCCCTGCCAGAGCGGATTTGTCAGGGGAACTGATGACGCATGGTTGTTGCTTCACGAAACCTGTGCAGAAGCAGTCTCTCAGCGGAGACCACTGTGGCTAGTAATGGGCGATTTTAAGCGTGCATTCCCCAATGTTATACGCCAAGACCTTTTGCACTCTCTTGCTGAGGGGCCACAAATGTCCGGCGGCAGCTTGATGCTTTGTGAGTCCATCTTACGCTTTGATTCGGTGTTGATTTGGTATAGTGGGTTGACGGAAGCTGTGGTCACCACCGGCATCCCTGAGGGGGGAACTTTGGGTCCATTCGCTTTTCCTTGTTTCTTAGATTCTTTAGTAAGGGAGCTCCTTGCTTCTGAATGTGGTGTAGGACTGGAGATGAAAGTGCCCGATGCTTGGTCTCAGGTGACATGGCGTGGCCATGGCAAACCATGCCCTCAAACAGTCCAAATTCTGAAGCACGCCATTCGTTGTGGACAGAACCTGCCTGCGGCGGGGCAGCTGACCAACAATGCAACGTTGGAAGCTAGCGCTCTCAAGGCCATGAGCGACTTGGCCCTAGACAGACTGGTTGCAGTGCTTCATGCTGACGATCACGTCATCTTGGGCTGCTGCAGGGGTGAGGCACAGCGCAGCTTGGACATTCTGTCCAGTTGGGCTCGCAGACATGGTGCTTCTTTCCACGTAGGCCCTTCCAAGACCGTAGGTTTAGTTTGTGGTCACCCGCCGTCTCCCCCTTTGCTCCCTGCCGACTCGGCTCTCTTCCTGGATGGTGAGCCCTTGACCATTCGCAATAAACACAAATGGTTGGGACTCACGTGGACTGTGTCCCTCTCATTCCAAGACACACTGACACATCGCGCTGCGCTTGCCGGAGCAGTCTGGGGATCTATTTGCGGCCTCATTCGAAACCGCACTCTCCCTATCGATATTGCTCTTAAGCTCTTCCGTACCAAGGTCCTACCCACACTACTGCAAGGAGCTTCTATGTACGGCCTGGAGGAGCAAATGGAGACATTGTTGTCTCCTTTGCAGGATGCTTGGGCTACACGTGCGTTTGGCTTAGAATCTTGGAGAAATGCAGCAGTGGCTTCTTCTGAGTTGGGTTGGGTATTACCGCTGCATCTTGAAGTGGTCCTGGCAGTAGCCATGAGACGTTTCCGCCTCTGGCAACTTCCAGACGACGACTTATACAAGACAAGGTTCATGTGGAGTCACCGCTTGAAGCAGTCTTGGGCATATCGGAGCCTCAGCCTTATCCATTTGTGGGGTTTGTCTGATTGGGTAGAATTGCGGGACGACAACGTCGCCTACAAAGACTACGTGCGCCGACGCCTTGCAGAAAGCTGTTTTCCAGAGTGGCTTCAAGCAGCACAGACGTCCATGCAACCACCGGCATACACAAGCTTCCAGGCTGTCCATAGCCACATTCATGAAATAGTCGCATCTCTGCAGCTTGACTGGGAGACGAGACTCAATGTCTTCTCCTTCTGCAAATTGAGAGCGGGAGGCATGCAATTTGCAGCCTTGAATGGGCGCCGAAGTACTGCTAAAATCCAACATTGTATTTTCTGTCAGACGCGGACACGAGCTGCACGTGTCCATGTTCTTGCAACTTGTCGAAAGTGGCAGCAGCATCGGCAGTGCCTGGGTATGCACATGGGGTTGAATTTCTCTGATCCCCCTGCAGATGTCTCCCGCAAGATCCTCTCTTGCCATCCTACGGCTCCGGCCTTCCGGATTGTGGCTCTTTGGGCAGCTGAGCTGGACAGTGAGTGCGCGGACTTTTGGGCTGCGCGAGACTAAAAGCAGTACGGCCATGGTGCTGTTCACCTCGTGCTTACCCATGGCATTTAGGTCGAACACGCATGTTGC